TAATGAACACAAGACATAGGAGCCAGTCAAACCACAGGAGAAATATAAACAACATCTCCATCAAAAGCTACCTGAGTACAAATTCAGCCACAGAAATAAAAAGTGGAAGTGTTTGGGAAACAGAATGTCTGCCCTGCAAGTGGAAAGAAAAACCCCCATAAATTTAAATTCAACCATTTCAGATGGAATAAATAACAGGACATTGCATAGGGGGGGGATCATGCCCAACTCCAGCTCAGTCGCAGCCATCTCCCCTTGAGTATTCCTACCTTGGTCTGCAGGATTCCAAAGGGAATTTTGGTTCATAGCAGTGACCAGCCCCTTCACCACCAGTACAGGCAGAGCTGTTCAGCTCCAACTACAGACCAGCAGAGCCCAGTCTGGACTAGGGAGGGGACTGAAAACTCAATGTATTGGGCCTCACATGTCAGTGTACTGCCTGGGTAACACCTCCTGTGCAGCTTTCATTCCAGAAGTCAAGAAAAAATGTTTTAATAATTGAAGAACACACTTATCTAGTCTAAAAGGAATAATTAAAAATTTAGAAACTAATCATGATCACCTATTCATTTCAAGGGAGAATGCTGGAAAAAAGACAGAAGAAAATTGAATATAAATAAATTAAAATAACAACAAAACCCCTATTTGAAGCATGATGACTGTTTTCAGCCAACACCAGAATTTCAGTACGTCATAACCTACAAAGATGAACATAAAACCGTCTTCATCCCATTACCAGACACAGGGTGCATTCTAGAATTAATCTATGCTTTGGTTCCATCTGGAGACACCTTCAGAATGGTGGGAAGCCTAGATTTAAAGTTCATTGCCAAACTAGTGGGCTCAAGAAGAAAAATTAAAATAATCAAAGAGAATGCTTCAAATATGAAAGACTGATAAGAACAGGAGTGATTCCTTTGGACATGAGAGGAGTCAGTAAGGCCTAAAAGAAGTACAGAAAGGTAAAGTATGGTATAGGCAAGAATTCTGGGGAATGGCTGCATTGCCTACATGGAAATAAAAAGGTGAGAAACTTGGTTAATAAGATTTCTTTTTCATTACACATCATGTTACAGAGGTCACCAATATCAAAAGCCAAAGATTGAAAGTATATTTCCAAAAGCGTTCACAGGGCATCACCAAATGTGTTGAGTAATATTTATGACAGTTATTAACAACAGTTCACAATTAAGAAGTAAAAAGTTCTCCAACTTTTGAATGCCAGAATAAGAACCACATAAAGATAAATCATTCTATTACAAAACTAGTGACTTCTACAGATGGTAATCAACAGAAGTCTACATTAGTATTTAACATCTGAAAAAAAGCTTTAGAATGGGACATTTGTTATTCATAACTGGGAGTAGTGGGTCAGGCTTTGGCAAGTCAGATGGACCAGCTAAAGACATTCCCAGAAGGCAAAATAAAATAATTAATGGTCTTAATAAACAGGTTCTATCAAAAAGAAATTGAGGTTAAGCTGCAGAAAAGAAGCCCAGAAGACACAACCATGTTCTTCAACACATAAGTTATTATAAAGGGGATACTGTTGATCTGTGGTAGACAGGGTGAGCAAAAATGGGTTTGAATTGCTGCAAGAAATAAGAAAATCCTTGTATATATAAAAAGTTAGATACTGGCATAAATTTCCAAGGAAGTTGCTATGTCTCTTTCATCATAAGTCTTGAAAATTAAGAAGTATTTGCAAGAGATGAGATAACTGGTGTTGTCTCAGGAAAAGCTCAAAACTTATTTTATTTTCTCCAATTTTATATAATCTGAATTTAAACAATGAAGATGGTGATTTGTTTTAGAAATGCCAGTATTCAGCTCACATGACTAAACTCCTTACAGCCAGTCTGTGCCTGTGCTTCTAACCCACTTAGTAAGTCCTAAGGCAAACAACTAGCACCCTCACTGCTTCAATTTACAATGTGATTGTTCCTGAGTAATGAAAATGCTTATTCTAAATGGTTTTCACACCAGACAGACTCTACAGAGAGAGGAAGGAACATGGATATCTAGTTTTCTTCCCTAAAGCTGCCATTTTCACAGAGATGTGAAAAAAATTGGCTACACCTACCTAGTTTTTACTTTTAAATCCAGGTAGATTGCTAATGGATGTTCTAGAGAAAAATATCTTACAAAAGATGAGCCCCTCCTTCTGCCTGGCTGCCAGATCAGCAGGGCCAGGAGCAAGAAGAGTGGAAGAGCCTTGGCCAAGGCACTCTGCGTGGGGCAGCATGGACATGCAGGTGGCCAGAGTGTCCCAGCACAGGCACACTCTATTCAGAACGAAATGTCTGCCAGTCTGTATAGAAGAAGGAGCTCTGTGAAAATCTCATTACAATTCACCTGGAACACAAGTGCCAGCACTGAGCCAACTTAAAATAAGAATCACACTTCATCTTCCTTGTCCCAGCCGTGGCATGCAGAATCCCCTAACCACATTACCTTCAGACTCCTCTTTCTTCTCTCACAGTTAAAGGTACAATCTGGGATGCCAAGCTGTCCCAAACCATAAGCTGTTTGTTTAGTAAAAGGAATAAGTAAAATGAATTTCATGAGGACTCTATAATCCTGACTGAATCAGTCAAACAGCCACAGGGCCCAGAATCCAGGTTTTGTTCAATAAAGATATATAAGCCACAAGCTCTGTTTCCCTCTACCCCATCCTTTAGATGTGCATGAACCAGTTTGTGTCACCCGTGAAAGGATGCAGGCATTGTTTGCTCTAATGCCCTGACAGTATTCCCTGAGAGACTGGCCTTTTACACTCTTCTCTTCCTCCTCAAGAACTGAAGTCTCATTTCTCCTAAGACAGATCAAGAGGGCACAAACACTTGGCTCCTGGGTTCCACAGCTCATCATCATACAATTCTCTGTGAGGCTTAAGGTTAGTTACCACAGACAAAAAGAAACAAGGAGATATTTCTTCTAGAGCAAAGTGACAATCCTCAAACAAACTGTTTTCTGCAGAAGTTTCTATGTTGTCTCACACTTCATTCAGCTTGCCAGCCAGAGCAGAAAGTTTTTAGCAATTCAATTCAATGTACTGGCAATATAATAACGAATTTATTTTATTTTGGCGCTGGTGATATTTTCATTTCACTTTTTATTTACATCTGGACAATGCTGTTAACTCCTTCAGCCAGGGATTTTATTCTTACTATCTAAATAAAAAGACAGCAAAAAAACTTCAATCTCTTTTTACAGTCAGGGATTATATCCAGAATTTTTGAAGAGGTTTAAAGGAGGGACAGGGCAAAAGGGCCAGAGCTGTTCTCTCTTACTGTTTGTTTTTAATTTTGGGGGGTAAGTATTGTATTTGCTGGGCCCTTACATAAAAAAATATTCACATTCACCTCCATAAGAGCCATGAGCACTTTTCTTGAGCTAGTTTAAGTCGACATGTGCTTTAGCCATGGTCTGAGTGGAGTCTCCTGCTGGAGCAATCCTGCCCTGCAGTCATTTCTGAATTGTGTTGCTGCTGTAAAACCTCTTAGAAAGGATGTTACCAAACATGCTAAAAATCAGAACAGGAAGCACTGACAGGATTTTTAAGACAGAAAAAATAAACAAAGAAATTACTATAAAATTTTCCAAGGTCTCCCCAGTGAATGCCAATTTTGTTTAATTGGGTTTTTTTGAGGTTTGATTTGTTTTTTTTTTTTTTTTTGACCAGCCAATTTATATTAGGAAGTAATCTCCTAATTTATGAAAGAGTCCTTTTAGCTCCCTAGAAACTCCCAGCTTCATGATTTATTTGATAATTACAGAGAGGTGATTTCAATATCCTTGTGTTTCTCACTGTTTTGCATGTGGCCATCCATTACAGCAGAAGAAATTACAAAAATCCTAAAAGATATTATCATATCTAGTCAGCCTGATGAGTTTTCTACGAGCAGGATGCATGAAACAATGAATAAGGAAACTGGATTACGGGAAAGAAATAAAAATATGGAGAAAGAGGAGAGGACAAAGAAAGGTGAGTCTATTTTATGTACAGGTATAAAAATGAGGGTAGAAGTCCTATTTTTATTTATGGAGGTTACATCTCTCCTCTGAACTCATTAGTGATTCATTGCATATCACAGGATTAAAAACAAAGAATGGGTAGATCAGCAAGCCTCAGCAGATAGCCAAATTTCTGACTCCACCAGCCAACATTTGCAGAAGCCTCCTCTTTTGGAAAAATCCTTGTTCTTTCCTCAGAAAAAAAAAATCCACACCTGATTTACTCCTAAGAGGTGACTTGCAGCTGTGAAGGGGAGCAGCACAGAGCCTCTCTGGCTGCCCTGGCTGGGGAAGCCCAGCTCTGCCAGGCCCAGGGAAAGGTGCTGGAGCCTGCCCTTGGCTCCTGGGGACAGGCAGTCCCTTCCCACCACAGCAGCTGGGGACAGTGGGGGCACAGCCACTGTGTGCTCAATGTTGAAAGTTCTTTACTTCAAAGAACACTCAGGTGGGCCTTTCTTTATACTTTAAATGCTTCAAATTAGAGGTCTACACCTCGCTAATGTTCCCACTAGCATTGACAGGGCATTTCTCAAAAGCTTCAGTGGGAACCAAAATTATCCCTTAGTGATTTTGCCATTACAAGATTTAGCTATTTTACTACTGCAAATCATAGCAGTCAAATCAACAAAATGTTACAGCATCAAGGCACAGGAACTCAGGAAGTCTTGGAAATCACCACTTTTGTCTGCCGGAAATGAAATGCCCTTCTCCAGTTTCAGTTTCTGCTGTTGCAAGCCAGATTGTTTTGCAGGACATGCTGTTAAACCAATCACACTGTAAAATACATTAACACTAGTCACCCCCAAAACTGGGGTGGTTATGAATTCTAGAATGATGATGACACAAAGCAATCAAAGCTGGACCATTCAGTATTGAGCTTTTACTCCACCCTCATCTCATCACATCCTCCTTCAGACTTACAGCCCAAATGATGCTCACACATTCCTTTGTGTTTTTGCCTCTTACACCACACCCATAAAAAAAGGGCACCGGTGATGTACAGCCCACCCTGAATAGGGTCTGTCACAGGCAGGTCAAGCTTTGTCAAAGGGGTAAACCTGCTAGTGCATATTTTATATTTAACTGTTTATTTTGGACACTGCTGTCGCATGCTTTTATGTCAATTGCAAAACTCAAAGCAAGTGTGTTTTGTTGTTCCTGGAAAAATAGAGAGGTTGGTGTTCAGAGATTTCTTTTTCAGGAAAAGGATTTGTCCCTCAGAAAAGCTTCAGTCGAGTCCAGAACAAGAAGTAGAAGCTTGTAATCAAGATTTCAGCACTCCAGTGTTTGGATATGATCCCACCTGCATTCTGGAAAAGATAGAAATTTTAATAGACCTCATGGGGTCTCTCCACTTCACTGAAAAACAAAACGCTAAGAGCTTATTACTGTATGGAGTTGTCCAGGTACAGTTAAATGATTCATCATGTACCTGTTCTGTTAATTCATTACTCAGTGCTATACAAAACCTTTATTATATGCTGCTAGATACTTGGATACTTGTTATTAGAGCTCACTGCAATACAGCAAAAAAAGACAGCTTCTATTTTTTAAAGTGAAATAAAAAGTTGATATGCACAAAAGCTGTGCCTACATGTCTAGAAACTCAGTAAAATCGTACAAATTTCAAAAAAAATGCTAAAAGCAAACTTACGTGAACAAATGGAAAATTTAATTAAAAACAGGATGAAGATGGATTCTGTACATTTTTCAGGATCAAGTGACCTGGAAAGAGACAGAGAAAAGTTTGAGTGGATAAAAAGTGTCTACTTGAAGAACAGATGAGAAAAAAAAAAAAGTTTAATAACAAAGGTAGGTAATTAAAAATTGAAAAGGAACCTCAAAATAGATTTTAAGAGAAATTTTTGAATTTATACACTGTCATATTTGACACTTTATACACAGACACAATTTTCCCCTTATTAGTGCATAGTTTTTCCTCTTCTACAGTCACCCAGCTGCTGCTGTATCTCAGACATGATCATTGCCTTTTCCAGTTCTGGACAGTAGTGTTTGCATGGCAGTGGTCTGTATTAGAGATTAAATACCTGCAAAAGACAGGGGAGATTCCTGGTTCAGAGAGGCAGCAGTCTAAACCCTTAACCCAGCAAAGACTCTCTCTTCAGAAGAAAAAGGACGGGTCAGAGAGTAAGGGTACTCACAGCCAGAGCTACAGGACTTTATTTTGTAGAGGCATTGCAGACTTTCCCCTGCCTGTTGTGAATAACTCTTTCAAGCTTGGCCTTCACACATGTCAGCAAACCCCTTCCTCCCTCAGGTAACCTTGTCTTTGGTCTAGCTTGGCTCTACCATGTTTCCACAGGAAAAGTTTTCTGTTTTCATCCTCATGCCATTCTGGTATTACTTGGAGTGGTTTCTACGCCAGTCCAAGAATCTCTGAATTTTGCCAGAGATTCTGAAAATTCTGGACTCCAAACTGTAGCTGTGAAAAAAGGAGAATCAGCTCCTAGCTCCTTCTCACAGCTACAGAGCAACATTACCCACTTCAGTTTTCCCTAATTCTGGCAGAGTAGGGCACCATAAGTCACTCACTACCCTCTCTTGCCAGCTACTGTTTCGAAGCACAATCTCCATAAGAGGAAATTAAATATTTCTATAAACCCACCCTTCAAGAGCCAGGAGGACTGTGTCACTGAGGGTGCTTCTTGACATGACACACTGAGCAATCAGAGAATTTAATCATATTCTAGACCTGTCACTAGTTCTGTTTCTGAGACAGGAAAGTACATTTGTGACATATGGGGCTTGTTCTGCTGCCACTGAAGTCAAAGGCAAACTCTCCACTGGCTTGCACAGGCACAGAGCCCCTGTTATAGAGCAGAACTGGAGGAGCAGAATGAGGATAGATGTGCACAGCTGAACTATTGCTCTTCTCCAGAGACTCTACAAGATACTTTCTAGGGTTTCATAAAATACAGAGAGACAAGAGGATCAAGAGCCACTCTTCTTGTGAGAGGGCCAAATCAAATTTTCCTGATTAATTTACCTTCCCTTATTCCTAAACAAATTAATAAACAACACAACAGCAGAACAAGACAGGCTTAGCCTAGTATTTAACTAATTAACACCACTAATTAGTGTTTAATGGCAATGATAATTATAATCATATCCCTCTGAGTCTACTGAGGCTGCCACATCAGATGGATTGCAATCTTCTCCATTCCTTGACAACTTTAAATCAATATCACTTCAAACCTGACAAGGTCATTTCATGAAAAGTGATTAGAGAGTCACCTTTATTTCCTGTGTTAAATGGAGAAATTAAAAAGCCTCTTTAAGTGGTGGGAGAAGAAAGGATAAATCATCACTTTGAGTTAACAAAATCAGTAATTGAAGCTCCTTTTTGTCCCACATAGGCATCATTATTTAGGTTTTCACTTGAGTCAATCCCAAAGCCAAAATTCACAGGCTCTGTGCCACTTGCCCATTATGTACAACAGAATAATTTAGATTAGGAAGGACCTTTGTAGTCCAACCCACCATTCAAAGCACTGCTACCCAGGCCAGTTTATGCAGGGCTTTCTTGAGCCAGGGCTTGAATATCTCCACCCTCTGGCTACATTATTTAATGTTTGGTAATCTTCATGGCAAAAAAAGCTTTCTTACATCAAACAGGAACCTCAGTGCAAATTGTGCTGCTCAGACAGGGAGAGGCATAAGACATCCTCTGTAGCTCAAGATCTGGGTGGCAGCACCCTCTCAATGGAGTCCCATCTGGGCTGAGTCCTCTAATGAGCTCATGTTGGATCATGGCCCTTGGCACACTGACACTACCACTGGACAGCTTTAAGCAGCATTTCTGGGCCATTCTACAGACACCCTGCCAAGCAGTACCTTGGTGCTGGCTGCAGGCTGGAGCTGGGCTCTCGCAGAGCCTGGGGAGCAGTGCACGACTTCCCCTGCACAGCTGACAGCTGGAGGAGGGCTGCAGCAGTTCCTAACCAAGAGACAGCCAGCAGAAGCTCTCTGTTAGAGCTGACAGAAGCAAAAGCCTCTGGAAGCTAAACCTCACCATCAGCAGTGAGCCAGGCATTCCCAGCCAATGCAGCTATCAGATGTTCCCTGAAGCTCTCTCCAAGAGAAGGTTGGAAGCTTGGAAAGAGCTGCCTTCTCTGCCACCCACCTCTGCTAGCTGACTCAAGCCACGAACCCTCATGCACAGGCAATGTGCTCACTCTTGAAAGAAAGGTCAGTGCAGTCTTTGGGAAGGATCATAAAAAAAATACACAAATATAAAGTAGATTGAATAAAACTCTTCTAGGTTTACTGGCAAAATATAATCAGAGGGGGCTAATACAGAGGCTGGGAAGATTCTGAATTGTGCTGGATAATATCCAGACTCTGCACCCAGCTAAGACAACCACAGAGGACACAGGATATTAAGCAGACAAGAAATCCTGCTAGGAATGGCAGAAGAACACTGCAGCAATTCACTCTGTTTTACACAAGGCCACACCTGACCATGGCACCAGAGCAGAGAAGAAATGCAGGACAGCTATGGAACAGCTAAACACTGGTACAAGTTTGGCATGGTGCTACTATATATATACAGATATGTCAGAGCTTTACACACATAACAAACATACAGCAAATACTCTTGCATTGTTGTAATACTGAAAACAGCATGCATGAACATAAAAATCCAAGTATACAGAACTTGGAGCATCCAGAGGTCAGTATTGAGAGTTATTGGGATTGTTATTTTTTCCAATGCCAAAAGAAGAACCTTGTTACAGCTGAGTCTCATAGTGTCTTTTGTTGTTTTCATTAGCACTAAACATTCAGAGGAATCTCAAAAAGGAAAGACAATTACCTGGGGAATGGAAGCTTTTGATCTATCTTAGCCAGCCATTCTACCTTATTGTGATTTTTTTGTGCTTTCCTCTTTAGAATAACCACTAATACTAAGAAAAAAACTTCCTGAAGTTCAAGCCTCTCATTTTATAAGAATGATTTTCACTTCAAATAAACATATGAGGGGCAGGGACTCATCACTGTTCCTTGATCACCACCCTTTCTCTAAGTAACCCACTGGGAATACATATTTCTCAACATGCTATGCTAAGTCCAGGAGGAAATCAAATATACATTTCTACTGGTGACTTAAGCTCTGATCCTACCATTAGTTAAACACAAGCTTAATTTTATGCATGTGAGTCATCCCATCAATATCCCCATATGCCAGAGACTTTGTGGGATTGGTGCCCAGAAATGAAACCATAATGAATGAATTCCATTTCTGAGTTGCAGAATCAGGGTTGGAAACCCTGAGAACTAAGATACTGGAACATAAATCCACACTATAACATGGGCCAAGGAAGTAAACACTTAAAAAAAAAAAAAAAATAAAAAAAAAAAAAAAAAAAAAAAAAAAAAAAAAAAAAAAAAAAAAAAAAAAAAAAAAAAAAACCAAAAAAAAAAAACAACCTCACAAGAGTTGATGTTATTAATTAAGTTTCATTCTTGTAACCCAACAGCCAGCGCTTCTCCAACAAAAACATGGCAAAATGCCTCATTTTAAAGAGCACATGCCAGACTTTGGATTTAGCTCTGCCTGCTTTTGGCCACCACAGCACCATAAATTTGCTACATCTTTCATTCTGCCCCCATATGTTAGGTTTGTGTCTAAACTCAACAACTCCTTTCTTTTCCACACAGGCAAAACAAAAAAAACTTCAGCAATTCATAGTACAAATGAACCCCCCCAGGATATACTTACATTTGAAAAACTTTTTGAAACATTAAGTACATAATTAGAACTAAATATAAGTAACTGATACACTAATGAATTATTAATATGAGTACTGTGTATGCTGTTCAAAATGGTTGCAGCACTTTAGTAATGAAATGGCTCATTACAACAGAGGCAACTGTTTGCTTTGTTGCAGGACCACGTGCCAGAATAAGAGTTGTAGTGAAAAAGAGGAGAATAGAACAATATTTAACAGCTCAGAGTGAAACCTCAGCTCTTACCCTGCTGGCCATGTCTAAAGGCAAGAGGCCCAGAATCTCTCTGCACTGGCATTTCTGTCACCTGCTACAAGACAAATGTATTGGGACACTGGCACTCCACAGCAAACATGACTTGTTACTTCAAAGTTCACTTTCAATCTTACTCTATTCACAGAATGGATCTCTTCAGTCCTTTCACAAGGTACTTTATAGGCTCATCTTCTCCTGTGTACTAAACCTATTTTTTTAATATGTATTAAGGCATATTTCCTGTAAGCCCCTTACATGCTTAACATTTAATATCAGGTGTTGTACAAAGAGTCATTGTCAGAAGTGAGCAAGGAATTTCTTCACAAACATCAACACTTGGCTTTCCAAACCACCCAAGGCTTCCCTCCTTCTCCAGACAGTCTGTAAATACACCATTCACGGGCCATGACAACAGGGGATTACTCTCATTTGAGCTTGCATACTTCATACTTGCATAGCAAAACCTTCTTAATTCTGTTTCTGCTATTAAGCACATTAGTTGGGGAAAAAAAGCATATATACTTATATATATATATATATATATATATATATATATATAATTGATTTTACAAGGGGATTTTTTAATACCAGACTATGACTTTAAAAATTAGAGAATGCAAATATTTACCCCTCTCTCCTCTCACCATGTTCCAAACAGCAGACAATATCCCTGACAATATTCATCTCCTGTAAACACTGGCAAAGCAATTTCAGAATTGTTA